TGACCCTGGGGCAAAGGGCGTGGTCTCAAGGTCACTTCAAAGTTGACCAAAATTTACACTCGTTAAAAACGTTGATATTTTGCTTACTATAAAGACTAGGATCATCAAATCTTGTAAGTTGATGCATCTCAGGACTTGACATCATGTTAATACAAAAGTAGGTCACAGTGACCTACTTTTTAAATTTTACAGGCTTTTGTTTTCAAATTGATTTAAAGGCATATTTTGGACACTTTAAGTCCTCTGATCATAAAACTTTGTCAGTTGGTGCATCTTTGGTCCACAAACAACATCAACTTAAAAGTAGGTCATCGTGACCTACTTTTTGAATTTTATGGCTAATCTTTTCTAAAACATTTAATCCCATTATTTCAGACACCGAGAGGTTTAGAATCACCAAATCTTGTAAGTTGATGCATCTAGAGGCCTTAAAATATATTTATCAAAAAGTAGGTCACTGTGACCTACTTTTTGAACTTTGCAGGCATTTGTTTTTAAATTGTTTAAAAGGCATATTTTGAATACTATTAGACCTATGACCATCAAATTTTGTCAGTTGATGCATCTTTGGTCTTCAGAAAATGTCGACTAAAAAGTAGGTCACTGTGACCTACTTTCGACATTTTATGGCGAGATTTAAGTATCTCGGGTACTAATTGGCTTAGAATCATGAAAATTTGTCAGTTGATGCATCTTGGGTTTTCGGAGATTAACGACCAAAAAGTAGGTCACAGTGACCTACTTTTGACATTTTATGGCTATATTTTAGTATCTCAGGTACTTATTGGCTTAGAATCATCAAACTTTGTCGTTCGATGCATCTTGGGTTTTCGGAGCATGTCGACCAAAAAGTAGGTCACAGTGACCTATTTTTGACATTTTATGGCTAGTTTTATGTATCTCTGGTACTAATTGGTTTAGAATCATCAAATTTTGTCATTTGATACATCTTAGATTTTCGGAGCATGTTGACCAAAAAGTAGGTCACGGTGACCCACTTTTGAATATCTCAGGTACTGATTGGCTTAGAATCATCAAACTTTGTCAGAAGATGCATCTTGAGTTTTCGGAGAATGTTGACCAAAAGTAGGTCACAGTGACCTACTTTTGTCATTTTATGGCTAAATTTAGGTATTTTGGGTACTTATTGGTTTAAAATCATCAAACTTTGTTATTTGATGCATCTTGGGTTCTTGGAGAATGATGATCAAAATATAGGTCACAGTGACCTACTTGTGACATTTATGGCTATATTTAAGTATTCTAGGGTACTTATTGGCTTAGAATTGTCAAACTTTGTCAGTTTATGCACCTTGGGTTTTCGGAGAATGTTGACCAATAAGTAGGTCACTGTGACCCACTTTTAAATATCTCAAGTACTTATTGGCTTAGAATCATCAATCTTTGTCAATTAATGCATCTTGTGTCCTCAGAAAATTTCAATCAAAAAGTAGGTCACCATGACCTTCTTATAGTATTTTATAGTTACATTTAAATATCTTCAGCCCTGACTGGCTAAGAATCATCAAATTTTGTCAGTTGATGCATCTTGGGTCTTAGGATAGATTGTATAATTTATCAGAAGAGCGATTCAAGGCCCTTGGGCCTCTTGTTTAAGAGACTGGAGTAATACAGGATGTGAAAAAGAAATATGTTTTCGGCCTCAGCTCTGCAAATTCCAATACACATTACATTTCTCGCCCTGGATAACTGCATATTAAGTTACTATATACAAGTCAAAACACAACGTTTCCTTTTAGGTTTAGCACAGTCTGGATCCTGGGGATGCTTTGACGAGTTTAACAGAATTGAATTGCCTGTATTATCTGTAGCTGCTCAACAGATCTACATTGTTCTCAATGCCAAGAAAGACAGGAAAAAGGAGTTCATATTCACTGATGGTGATGTAGTGGAACTCAATCAAGAATTTGGAATTTTCCTTACAATGGTCAGTTCATATATATATAGCGATTTAAAATAATTATGCAAAAAAAATACTTGTATGTTTTATGCAATAAAGTACATTGTTACAGAATCCAGGATATGCAGGACGTCAAGAATTGCCAGAAAACTTGAAAGTTCAGTTCCGCACAGTAGCTATGATGGTTCCAGACCGTCAGATTATCATGAGGGTTAAACTGGCTAGTTGTGGATTTTTGGAAAATGTTCTTTTGGCACAGAAATTCTATACTCTCTACAAATTATGTGAAGAACAGTTATCAAAGCAAGTGAGTGCATAATTTATTGAGGCATTTTGAAAGAACAGTTTAGTAAATAAGTACGTGTTATCAGCTGTTACTTTCGGGAACATTGTTGAATAGTGTCAAATGCTGGATCTAACTTAAAATTTCACTTGTTTTCAAAAAAAAATTGTAGTACAGCTAGGTCTTTTCTAACATTGCACGAACTTGGCACAGCGTGCAAGAAAGTTGTAGGAATACTTGCATTATACAATCGTTCTTGCCCAGACGCCTCAACTAATACTTGAAAGAGGATGGGAGCCCTAGTAAAGTTGTTTTAAATCTTACAGTTAATAAAAATTTCATATAAAAAGTTTTGTGAAAAAGAACAAAATCAAGTTTTATCTTATAGTGAAAAAGTTGCAGGAAATTATAAGCCTTACCTAATTTATCTTCGAAAAATAATGGACTAGGTTATGCATTCTTACTATATTTACTAGAATTGCTTCATGTGATTAATCCACAGGCACCTGATGAAATAAGAACTCTCCTTTTTTCTGACTGAGATTCTGATGCGAAACCTTGTTATTAATTCTTCCATTCTCCTGCTGCAATTTAAATCAATATTTATTTAAGAAAAGCAAATTTTAAATGGCTTTAGTCTTTAAAATGAATGATATTTATTTTCTTGTGCACTTAAAGGTTCACTATGACTTTGGATTGAGGAATATTTTGTCTGTACTGAGGACTTTAGGAGCCAACAAGAGAGCTAGACCAAATGACACAGAAAATACAATTGTGATGAGAGTTTTAAGAGACATGAATTTATCCAAATTGGTAATTTTCTTAAAGCTATTCTTTTCTTAATCACAAATATAATGATCATAGCATTACGCAAATGTGTGTGTGTGTGGGGGGGGGGGGGGGGGGGGAGGGGTATAGCAGTGATTGAGAGAGACTAATGCCATGGCAAGGGCATGATAAAAATATCTTTGTTTTATGTTGATTCTTTATTCCTTCAATAAGGTATCCTTAAGTGCAACCAAAAAAAAAAAAAAATCAAAATTCTAAAGCTGTATGATTCAATCTCTATAGGTAGATGAGGATGAGCCATTGTTCATGAGCTTGATAGCAGATTTGTTTCCAGGAATAGTGCTAGACAGTGCAACATATGCAGAGTTGCAAGTGGCTATTGCTAAACAAGTAGATGATGCTGTGCTCATAAATCATCCATCATGGAATCTCAAACTTGTACAAGTGAGTAGTGTTCATTTGGCTTATGGACCAATCTTGTAACTTAAATTTCTTATATTCCTATAATAAATATGGTGAAATTTTCTACATAGCTTAGATTGTTTATTTTAGCAAATTCTTTGTAACTGATTTACTCTATGTGGAATTAATATGCATATGATGAATGTTTTTGAAAAGGAGGACATTAGATTCTTCATGCATTGAATCCAAAATGTTAGCTACCAAGAATTTCTTGTGCTCTACAGGTTGCCTATCATTTCTTTTAGCTCACCTATGCTAAATTAGATTTTTTTATTGCATGTTGTCTGACAACTATCAGATACTATCTTGATAAATATGCATACTTAATTCTTGCACATTAAGAATTTCCAATAACTCTAGTAAAGTATGACGAGATTAACTAGTCATTAAAAATCTTAATAGAAAGTTTAACTTTTCTTTTGCCACTGGTATAATAACTTGACAGGCACACAAATTGTGGTAGTGATTGATTCAAGCACATTGTTTCAGTTGTGTCATTAATTTTATAGCTCTATGAAACACAAAGAGTAAGGCATGGAATGATGACACTGGGACCAAGTGGAGCAGGCAAGACTTGCTGCATCCACGTCTTGATGAAAGCAATGACTGATTGCGGGGCTCCTCATAGGGAAATGAGGATGAATCCAAAAGCTATAACAGCACCACAGATGTTTGGTAGACTGGATGTAGCAACAAATGATTGGACAGATGGCATATTTTCTACCTTGTGGAGGAGAACACTGAAAGCAAAGAAAGGTTAGCTGAAATAATCTCACTTATTCAATCACTGTCCCATGAGTGGAATTTTCAAAATTCATTATTTTTTAAAAGTACCCAGTACTTGAAAAAAGTAAGGAGTGCCGAAGAAGTCACAATTTAAGGCTCTAATTAATGATTTATTTTGAAGGAAATAGAATTAATTTTATTTCTTTTTTTAGGAGAAAACATATGGATTGTTCTTGATGGCCCTGTTGATGCAATATGGATTGAGAATTTGAATTCTGTTCTTGATGACAATAAGACTCTCACACTGGCCAACGGTGACCGCATCCCAATGTCCCCAGCCTGTAAGGTAGTATTTGAGGTCCACAACATTGACAATGCTTCACCAGCTACTGTATCTAGAAATGGTATGGTGTACATGAGTTCATCAGCACTGGATTGGAGACCAATATTACAGGTACACACAAGTAAAGTACTGTTCTAATTATACCCCTGCTCTAAAGGATAATAAAGAAATAACATAGTCTGGGGGGGGGGGGGTTATCATACTGAAATTATATCTTAATAATACATGAAAAGTGTGTATATTCAATTGCATCATCAACATTTTCTGTTAAAAAACGAGAATAGCTATGTAATGATTAAATATAAAAGCTCATTCCAAAAAAATAAAAAGCAAGATTTAATTTTATAAGTCCAATAAAGTTTAAAATTATCCCATTTTGTTTATTGAAGGGTTGGCTGTTAAAGAGAAATTCCCAGGAAAGTGAGCTTTTGCTGACTCTTTTTGACAAAATATTTGATGATTTGTACACGTATGTCAATACGAACTTGTTACCCAAAATGGAGACACTGCAATGCAACCAAATTATGCAGGTAAATTTTAAATTAATTTTAATAATTTTAACAGCTACTGAATTGAAGAATTGAAATAGATAAAAATTGTTTAGCTTTGCGATTGCATACCATCCTTAAAATTGGATATTATTATTTTAAGGCTTGCAATGTACTTGAGGGTTTGATCCCCAAGAAAGATGACAAAGGAACACTTCCTGCATTCCATCTAGAAAAACTTTTCATATTCTCTCTGATGTGGAGTTTGGGTGCATTGCTGGAGTTGGATGATCGTGCCAAAATGGAAGAATTTATGGCTAAACATGAGAGTGCATTGGAATTACCTTCTGTGAAAGAGGGAGAGACCATCTTTGAATATGTTGTTGATGATCATGGTATTAAAATCAAGTCACTCAATCAGTTCCATCTACTTTTGGAATTGACGGTTTTTCAAGCACTAGTACTTGCCCCTCAACTTGGGATACAAATACATGTATTGCTTTTCAAAATTTTTATTTTTAGGTATTCAGAAAACTTCTTATTTTTTTCTTACAGGTGAATGGGAACACTGGTCTAAGAGAGTAGAAGAATACATTTACCCTTCAGATGTAGTTCCTGAATTTTCATCCATTTTAGTACCAAATGTGGACAATGTGCGAACAAGCTTCTTGATAGATGTCATTGCAAAACAGAACAAAGTGAGTGTTTTCTAAAAAAAAGGAAGGTCATGAATTATGATAGAAGTTCCTACCAATACCTGCTGAAATAAAACCTTTTTTTCAATAGTTGTTCATTAGGTCACCTGAGTAAACTCAGGTGACCTATTGCTATCTGTTTTCGTCCGTCGTCGTTCGTCGTGCGTTAACATTTGAACATTTTCAGCTTCTTCTCTGCAACCACTGAACCAATTTCAACCAAATTTGGCACAAAGCATCTATGGGTGAAGGGGAACAAAAATTGTGAATTTCATGATCCCTGCCTGAGGGGTGGGGCCAAAACCACTAAAATTAATGCAATCTTTAAAAATCTTCTTCTTTACTCCTGGACATCAAGCAATCAAACTGTTTGCATGATTGTAATCAGCAATGAGTCCTCTACCAAAATTGTGAAATTCATGGCCCTGGGGTCAGGGGTTCTAGTGCTAGGGTAGGGCTAAATAAGTAGGTAGTGAAAATGCATTATTTCTTTGAAAATCTTCTTCTCTGCTCCTGGGTATTAAATAAACCAACAAAGTACATAGTTATGATGAGCAAGAGTGCCTCTACCAAAATTGTGAATTTTATGGCCCTAGGGTCAGGGGTTCTGGTGTTAGGGCTGGGCTCTATTGATTATATAGTGAAAATACATTATTTCTTTGAAAATCTTCTTCTCTGCTCCTGGGTATTAAATAAACTAACTAAGTACATAGTTATGATGAGCAAGAGTGCCTCTACCAAAATTTTGAATTTTATGGCCCCAGGGTCAGGGGTTCTTGTTTTAGGGTGGGGCTCTAATGATTATATAGTGAATTGCATGAATTCTTTGAACATCTTATCCTTTGCTCCTGGTTAATATGCTAATGATCTAATTACATATTTAAGGCCAGGATATATTTTATTTTCAGTTATACAAAGCCTCCGCTCAAAGTTTTGAAAACAATTTTTTTCTTTCCGATGTCAAATATGAGTCGGAATCGAGATTTCAAATTTACGAACTCGTACTTCCGGTTTTAAGATGAAACGGCGGGTAAATAAAGCTAGATCTGAGAAGATACCTTGGTTTAGTGTAAAATTCATCGATACGAGTGCCATTCAAAACGTTTCACCTGTTCAAAGGACAAATAAAATGCTGACGACTTTGTTGCACAATGACATGCTGGTGAGATAATTATGTATTCGTTTCAAAAGTATCTGTCTGTAAATTATTTTCCTCCCCCAGGTTTTAAACTGCCCGTGGTAGCTATTGCATATTGCCAGCGACATTGTTTAGGTCTCTGTTATAGCTTACAGTCTAAGCATCATTCTTCAGATAAGGGTTGCTTATGCATCAGATGTAATGAATAAAACTATGGGAGAAGTTAAGTCCATTTTAGGAAGAAATGGACAATAACCTGAAGAAATAAAAAAAAAATTCAACTATTAAAAGGCAAGAATATACAAATATATACAGGCATGTAGTATCATTTGTATCAGCCAGAGAAATTATTTTACACTTAATTGAAAAAAATGTTCACCCTACTCCCCAATACTCCCTGTCTGTTTTATGATAGGAATTATAATTTTAGGCATCAAGTAAATTTTAGAACAATGTCTACACATTCACCTAACACATATTAAAAAAATGAAGATATATTGAAAGACTTTTAAAGAATTGATTTTTTAAAATATATTTTGACCAACATCACAAAATTTATATAACTGGCCCAAACTGGTAGATGATGAAATAAGCAATTAAATGTTCTACTTTCCTATTTGTAAGCATTATGTGTCCAGTGGTAAGGAGCCTATTAGAATAGCATAAAAAAGAATGTACAATTGATTTATCAAAAAAAATTTTTTATTTCATTCTCCTTCGGGACTTTTTTATTCTCATGTTCATAACTAAACCTAAACACAAAAAAAAAATGCTGGCCTTATAATGAAGAGAGGGGCCTCTTTCAAAATAGATAAATTCAGGGCCACTGGGTCAGGGGTACCATGGGGGTACTTTGACTAAAAATAAATTAATGCTTTGAAATCTGCCCTTTGATAAGCAATGGTGCCTCTTTCAAAATTTGTGAATTTCATGGCTTTTGGATTAAAACGCGAACCAAATACAATCGCTGGAAAGTTGTTGCATGATACTCAGGTGACCTATAAGGCCCGTGGGCCTCTTGTTTTAATTTATCAGTGTATTTATTTTACTAGGCAGTACTTTTAATCGGAGAACAAGGAACAGCAAAGACTGTGATGATCAAAGGTTACATGGCACAGTATGACCCTGACAGTCATCTGAGCAAAAGTTTCAACTTCTCCTCTGCTTCCACTCCATCCATGTTTCAGGTAATTATAGCAATGATCATACTGACTTTCTGTAGACAAGTAAGAGTGAAAACTGTGTATTTTGTAAGTTTAACATTGCATATTTACAGAGGACCATAGAGAGCTATGTTGACAAGAGAATGGGAAGTACTTATGGACCCCCAGGAGGAAGGAGAATGACTGTTTTCATTGACGACGTCAACATGCCAGTCATCAATGAGTGGGGCGACCAGGTCAGTCTATTGCAAGAAATACATATGTTGATGTTTAAACATCCGTTGTCATGCATGGTTTTATTACTGCATGTTGTAATAAAGTTTGAAAATTTATGCCTATTGATTATAGATTACAAATGAAATCACTCGTCAAATGATGGAGATGCATGGCATGTACAGCTTGGACAAGCCTGGTGATTACATATCTATAGTGGACATGCAATTCATTGCTGCTATGATACACCCAGGAGGAGGAAGAAATGATATCCCTCAGAGATTGAAAAGACAGTTCTCCATATTCAACTGCACTCTGCCATCGAATAACTCCATTGACAAAATCTTTGGTAGGTTGTGGTTGATTGTTCGGCACACTATCTGGAAAAAGATTTTAATTTTAGCAGATCTCTTCTTCCTTTTTAGCTCACCTGAGCCGAAGGCTCAAGTGAGCTTTTCTGATCAAAATTTGTCCGTCGTTGTCGTAAACTTTTCACATTTTCATCTTCTTCTCGAGAACCACTGGGCCAATTTCAACCAAACTTGGCACAAAGTATGCTTGGGTGAAGGGGATTCAAGATTGTTCAAATGAAGGGCCACGCCCTCTTCCAAGGGGAGATAATTATGAATTAGTGAAAAATTAATAGCATTTTTAAAAAATCTTCTTCTCAAGAACCACTGGGCCAGGAAAGATGAAACTCATGTGGAATCATCCTCAGGTAGTGTAGATTCAAGTTTGTTCAAATCATGACCCCCGGGGCTAGGGTGGGGCCAAAATGGCCGACCAAAGTTTTACATAGGAATATATAGGAAAAATCTTTAAAAATCTTCTTCTCAAGAACCACTGGGCCAGGAAAGATGAAACTCATGTGGAATCATCCTCAGATAGTGTAGATTCAAGTTTGTTCAAATCATGACCCCCGGGGCTAGGGTGGGGCCAAAATGGCCAACCAAAGTTACATAGAAATACATAGAAAAAATCTTTTAAACTCTTCTTCTTAAGAACCACTGGGCCAGAAAAGATGAAACTCATGTGGAATCATCCTCAGGTAGTGTGGATTCAAGTTTGTTCAAATCATGACCCCCGGGGCTAGGGTGGGGCCAAAATGGCTGACTAAAGTTTTACATAGGAATAAATAGGAAAAATCTTTTAAAAATCTTCTTAAGAATCATTGAGAAAAGAAAAATGAAACTTAAATGAAATTATCTTCAGGTAGTGTAGATTCAAGTTTGTTCAAATCATGACCCCTGGGGCTAGGGTGGGGCCAAAATGGCCAACCAAAGTTTTACATAGAAATATATAGAAAAAATCTTTAAAAATCTTCTCAAGAACCACTATGCCAGGAAAGATGAAACTCATGTGGAATCATCCTCAGGTAGTGTAGATTCAAGTTTGTTTAAATCATGACCCCCGGGGCTAGGGTGGGGCCAAAATGGCTGACTAAAGTTTTACATAGGAGTATATAGGAAAAACTTTAAAAATTTTCTTCTCAAGAACCATTGGGCCAGGAAAGACGAAACTTATGTGGAATCATCCTCAGTTAGTGAAGATTCATGCTTGTTCAAATCATGACCTCTGGGGCTAGTTTTGGGCCCAAAATGGCTGACCAAAGTTGTACATAAGGATATATAGGGAAACCTTTTAAAATCTTCTTTTCAAGAACTTCAAAGCCATGATTAGTGATATTTTTCTATTTATATGGAATCATCCTCAGGTATTGTAGATTCTACATTGTTCAAATCATGACACCCAGGATGGTTAAAATTCAAGCCCCCCCCCCCCCCCCCCCCCCAGTAAACTTTCAGTTTTGATCTGATATGTGTTTTTTTCTAGTAGTTGTGCTGAGGTGAGCGATGTGGCCCTTGGGCCTCTTGTTTGATATGTGAAGTATGTGTGTGGTTCACACAAGTCTCTGAAAGTTGATTCTTATCTTTGAAAGTCATTGGAAATAGAACAGAGCTAGAGATCCTTGATTTCTAAGGCCTTGTATTGAAAAATACATGTAAATGATTTATTTCTTTAGCCAAAAAAAATGCAAGCTTAAAAATGAAAGTTTTGTTGAAATAAGGATCCTGTGTCTGTGGTAAGTCAAATTAAAACACTTGCAGAGCTATAACATTTTATAAGAATATATAATATTGTTTTGCAGGCATCATTGGGTGTGGATATTTTTGTTCTAGTCGCTTTAATCCAGAAGTTTGTGATATTGTGAAAAAGATTGTTCCAGCCACCAGAATTCTCTGGCAAATGACAAAGGTGATTATTTTTCAGTTTTAAATTTGATGTGATTTATGTTATATTCCTGCTGTTTGTTTTTTAGCTCACTTGGCTATTTTTCACACTTAATTGTTCATGTTTCCTCTTTTCATATTATGCATCTTCTTCATACTTTGTTTGAATGTCCCCATAATAAATATATATAATTGCAAATATGCAATTTACTGGTTTATAAAGTTTGGTATGGTTGACCTTTCCTGCATAGAAACAATACAAAGTTTCAAACTCTTACATAAATCTCCAAGAAATTCATGAAATGTACATGTATAATTTAAGTTTGTTTAAAGTCTTAAGCCCAGGATATACAAGAAATCTGCATAACTTTTTATCCATATGTCTTTCTTTTTAACAACTTTCATTAAGTACAAATAAAAATTCTGATTCTGTGGAATTAGGAACCTGTAGAAATGAGAATATGTTAACATTGTTTCATGAAAGTAATGAAACTTTGAACAGGTTTCATTTGGAAACAATTTTGATACTTATTTGAACTGTTTGATAGGTAAAAATGTTGCCTACACCAGCCAAGTTTCATTACATTTTCAACTTGCGAGATCTGTCTAGAATTTGGGAGGGAATGCTGAAAATCAAAGGAGAGGAATTTTGTATGGAATGTGAGGACCAATTGATGGTGTTAGGACTCTTCAAACATGAATGTACAAGAGTCATCTCAGACAGGTATAGGTGTAATGTGTAGATGTAAGTCCATCAAAATAGAAAATATATGTAAGAGCCAGATTATCTTTAACAGCATCAATTTTTGTTTTAAATTTGGACAATAATCTTTAGATTCATAAATTAATAATACATGTAGTTGTAAAAGGAAAAGTGTTTTGAAGGACACGTGCAACAAAAAAGGTTGGTATATAATTTTTGGACTTGTTACATTATATAAGGACATCATTAGAATCCCTAAATAAAGAATAAAATTTTATACAAATAAACTTGCTCATTTTACTTTATATAAACATATATTTAGTTGATATTCTCCGATTTAGGGGGGGGGATGTTTTTATTTTATTTTTGTTTAAAGTAAAGTGTGAGTTTTTCAGTGGATGCTAAGTTTCATCTATTTCAGATTTACAAATGCTGATGACAAAGCCTGGTTTGAGAAGAGTTTGAATGTTGTCATTAATGATCACATTGATGCATCACTTGTTGACACGTGTCATCCAGAACCATACTTTGTGGATTTTCTTCGTGATGCTCCAGAACCCACAGGAGAAGAAAGTGATGATGCTGCACTAGAAGCTCCCAAAATATATGAACAGGTAACAGTATATGCTTGACCTCACCATAACTATGAGTGGTACAATATAGGTGGTATTTGTTTCCTATTATATTGACATTTCTTTTTTCCTTTTTTCCTCATAGATCTCCTCTTATGAGACATTGAATGACAAACTGCTGACTTACATGGAACAGTACAACGAGTTAGTCAGGGGGGCTCATATGGATCTTGTCTTCTTCAAGGATGCCATGGTACATCTTATCAAGGTTAGTGATCTCTCTTAAATTTTGTTTGAAAGCAACCATTTACACATAAAATAAAGCAAGGGTTTAAAAGTTCAGTTGGTTTTTATATCTTTCTTGAGTAATACAGATAAAACCTACAAATACATTAAAACCTGTGTACGCTTCCACAGTTAATGGTATTTTGACATTCTTAGACCTATACTTTTCATCCCAAAATTTAAAAGCAGCTACTAAATATTGTCAATGAGGAAGCTAATCCTTGGAGCACAAAAAACAAGCATGCCAAGGGCCAATCTCCATGGGCATGATCACATCAAACACTATGAGCTAATCCCAGGAGTGCATAATGCATTGGGCTGATCTCAGCAGGTCATAAGACAAACCTTAGGGCTGATCCAAGGAAGAAAATGCCTAGAGGGATGATTCCTAAAAGCACAGACATACAAAAAACTTGGCTGATCCCAGGAGTGCACAATAATACTTTGGATTGATCCAAGCAGGGTTCAGAGACTCTGAGTACCTTTGAGAATCCCTTTTATTTGTTGGCATTTAGCAAGCAGACTGTTCCCTTCACCAAAATTTTCAAATGTGTCTCGGACTTTCTCCCCATAACTTAAGTTGATTTCCTAGTTTGAACCTTCAGTTTCCATTAACCTGGCAGGTCCAGTTTGGCAGTGGTTCTAAAAAAAAAGTTAAGTAAGGAATTTCATTCCATGTATTTGTTTTAATTTGAAGATTTATTTTTGATAACAGATATCCAGAATTATTGGTACCCCGCGAGGAAATGCTCTGTTGGTGGGAGTTGGAGGATCAGGAAAACAATCACTAACTCGTCTAGCCTCCTTCATCGCAGGCTACAGAATATTCCAGATTACACTCTCAAGGTTAGCAATTAACCAAGTGTAACTTCACCAGTAATTACAAATCTGTAAAGATGCTCCCAGGTACCTCTCATACAGGGTACCAAAGCTTCATTTAATATAATGTTATAATGGCACTGTTAATTTGAAAAACTAATGTCTTTTAAAACAAAGAAAATAAGCAACAATCAAATCTATTAAAGTGGCATATCTTTTAGCATGATTGGATGTTCTGTGAGAAATTTTTTGCATGCTGAAAGAGTGTTTTTCCCAATTGATAAATACTCTTGATTTAACTGAAAAATATTGTTGACATGCAAGTAATGTGCAATGAAACTTAATCAACAGGACATACAATGTTGGCAATTTGATGGATGATTTGAAGTTTATGTATCGTGTTGCTGGATGTGAAGGGAAAGGAATCACATTTATTTTTACCGACAATGAAATCAAAGATGAAGCATTCCTTGAATACTTGAACAATGTTCTGAGTTCAGGAGAGGTAAGTTATACTAGTATCAGATGGTCCCCAATTCGAGACAGTTCCATGGTAAAGTGCATGTTGTTCTATGATGTAACTTTTTGGGAGTATATTTCATTCTCACTTTAATCAGAATATTACTTCAGTGACCTTTGGTCAAGGTCACATTCATATATTGTTTGATATGAATCTTTACTTTCTGATGGAATTGCTAAAAGTTCTGTATTTTTGCAATGACCAATGCTTTTGAGGTAAATTAAAAAATGATTACAGATCTAGACCAACATAAAAAAAACTATTCCATGAAGTGATTATCAGATGGCAACTTTATTTCTTTTTGAGCTTTTGCAGTGAAGCTTAAGATGATGACTAATTCATTATATCAAAGATTAGTTTCTAGATTTCAATTTGCTAAAATTTGTCTCTGGATAACACCTTTAATGAAATTTAATCTATAAATTCACTAAATTAGCTTGTGTTTGCTGTTGTTTGACAGATACATATTAGGTAAAACAAAGCACTTATTTACTGGATTCTGATACAGAATGTATTTTGCTGAAACCTTGCCAAACTGTTACTTCACTTTTAAGCAGTTCTTGAGACTTACAGAACACATGTTGCCCTCGAACTGAATAAATGTACATTGTAAGCTTAATGATTTTATTTATGTGTAGTGAATGATTGAAACCGATAAAAAAAAAATGTTTAAAGTTAAATCAATTATTTGCAGGTTTCTAATTTGTTTGCCAAAGATGAACTGGATGAAATTACACAGGAATTGATTGCAGTAATGAAGAAAGAAATGCCAAGATGTCCTCCCACATTTGAAAACTTGTATGATTATTTCATCTCCAGGGCAAGAAAAAATCTGCATACAGTCTTGTGCTTCTCTCCGGTGAGTCTTTTTCTTAATCAGTTGATTGAATATGTGTTTTTAAACAACAGAAGGATCATTTAAGTTCCTCTGTGCGGCACACCTCTTTCTTTGAACTTTATAAATTTTGTTCTCAATTTTCACTAAGCCAGCCAAATTTAACCGAAATAGCACAATGCACCCTTCAGTCAAGGGGACACAAATCATTTAAATAAGGGCCAAATCAGATTCCAGACTGAGATAATAAATTCACAATCAATGTCTCATTGAATAAAAATATCTTTCATACAGGTTGGAGAAAAGTTCCGAACAAGGGCATTAAAATTCCCTGGACTTATATCTGGTTGTACCATGGATTGGTTCAGTCGATGGCCAAAAGATGCTTTGATTGCTGTATCTGGACATTTTCTAAACAATTACCATATTGTCTGCAGCAAAGAAATTAAGGAACAGGTTGTCAACACAATGGGAGTTGTCCATGACAATGTAGCTTCTGTTTGTGTTGAATATTTTCAAAGGTGAGTGATATTCATGAATGCTACAAATATGCAACTGCATTTCAAGTCATTGTAGCAAGGTCACTGGCAGAAAAAAAATGTTTTAAAAAAGATAGTGTCCGAAAAGTTTGCTAAATGTGACAAAAATTTATTTGAAACTATTGACACTGCTGGTAAAGTGCGAATCGAGAAAATCTTTGTTTCGGACACCAGCTACTATTGGTTTACATCAATTAGGCAGTTTATATCAACTACACGATCAGAAATGATATGATATTTGATTAAGACGTAATTATTAAGGTTCAGTATGATTTTATGCAGTAGAATTGCTTGTTAGTTGAATACATGTAAGGAGCAATCCAGTAACTGCTTCAGATTACACTCGTTCAATGTATTTCACTGGATCTATTCATATTTTCTTTTTACATGTTAAACATGATGTACATTTGTGTTAAAACTGATATGAATATGTATTGTATGAGTCATTTATGATTTCCCATGCCTTTAATGTTTCATAAGATTAAAACTTTTGATGCAATATAAAATTTTCTGATATACAGCGCCAGTATGGTTGCTGTATGTGCGACTTTCGGCTCCTGTAATTGCTACATTTGGCTTCTGTTCTGTTTCAAAAGGCGCGACGTTTTACTGCTGTATCATTCTTTTCCTAGTAAAGCATCTAAAGACTTTATTTTCGAACAATAGATAGTGCAACGTCCTTGAATACGTCCCAAAAACATATACCTCCAGTCCTTGACTAGCTGTTTCATAAATAAAGCTTCTATCAAATATTTAATGTGTATTGCATATAACCCTTCCCCCCCCCCCCCCCCCCCCCCCCCCACACACACACACACACACACACACATAGTGATGGGGAATCGGCAAAAAATCAGAATCGATTATCGGTAATAATCGGATGGGTATAATCGATTAATGATCGATTATAATCGAAATTCTGAACTTTAATGAAATTAATATAGAAAAGTTAAAACTTATTCAGATGTCTGTATGACTTTTACAAAAAAAATTATTTATTACATAAAATATTTAAAAATTTTAATTGAAATTTCTTTTTTAAAAAGTGGAAAATAATATTTTGTTTACTTTAAACAATATAGGGCCTAGGACTATTGAAACAGAATGGGAATTTATTTTTCTAATAAAGTCCATGCAATAGGTATTCTGCTGATATTAGTCAAACTTTCATATAATACATACAAGTATATGTTTTTTAAATTAGTTTTAACTAGTTAAAATAGCAAGTTTTAAAAGTAGTTTACCAGAAGTAAAACTTGTATTTCTGATTAAAATTACGTTTAAAAGTCGACTAGACTAATTATGTTTCCTGGTTTTAATCTAACCCCATTCCGGTATTTAATCATGGCGGTAAAAGTATCAACAAGACACGGAATCCTTCCATGTTTTCAACATTCATCACTACCTTTATGCTCTTTGCACTCGGATTTGGAAATAAAATTAAAGTATGACAATTTTATTTTATGGTAGCGATGTCGGCGACATTTATTTTATAATCGATTAGTAGCATCGAAGAGCTTCTAACGACGACAATCGATTGTCGGCGACAATCGTTCCATCACTACACACACACACACATAAATTGTTCGATTATGTGATTAAAGTTAAGGATAAAAAATACAGAATTCACTCTGTTAGTAAACATTGGATATCATTCTTTAAAAATAATCTTTTTCACTAAAATATGTTATATGTCCATTAAAGCTCTATCCCATAGTTCAATTTTAATAATTCCACTTTCTTGTTTTGAGGGTTACTAACTTTCAATGGAGAAAAACGAAAAAAAGACTTTGGACCCCCCGCCCCCGGAATAGGAGATATATATAAGTATTTGAAGGAAATAGACGTTGAAACGTGAAAGTGTGTTATATCTTTTTTATTCACCTCCTGAATAATTTTTTAACCTTTGACTTGGAAATATGGCATGGACAGGCATTAAGTATATCCGATATTCAACTTGTATGGAATATTTTAATATTTCAACAAAATATTCTCATATTTGAATGACATAATAGACCTAATTATCTATTTATTAAACAAGCAGACCCGTGAATTTTTCTAAATGTATATGGAAGGAGAATGAGAGTCGCAAGTGATTGACAAGCCAACAAAAATAAACAGCCTAGTCTCGGAAGAACAAATCTGCAGAACTGTAGTGTTATGGTTTTATGTTTTAGTCGTTGACTATCAAGACCAAGAAAACCATAACGCTACATACAGTTCTGCAGCTAGGAAGGACAGTCTATTTCTTGGTGTGTGGGAGACCTTTCCTTAAATATTCCATTTTCCCCAACGGCTGGATTTGCCAGAGTTCAACCTTACGGTTAGCTGCAGAACTGTAGCTCTCCAAAAAAAATATATTGACAGACGGGCGAGCTGCAGTACCACCAACTGGAATAAAAGTGTATGTTTATTGTGCATAAAAAATGCACTGTTTCTCGGTTTCAAACTGTCATATTCTCAAACTATTTCTAATTGGATGTTCCAAATACAAGTAAATTCCTTTACAATATCCACTTACTATTTCCACAACTGTTGTAAATAGCCCTCCTTGACATAAAATTGAGACCATCGAATTTCGCATTTTTACTTCCATTTTTAAAGAAAAATCATTTCAGTTGCAGTTTGCGATTCGTGAACAAGTCAACTACAAGAGTTGTTGCTAGAGGTCTTAGGATTATGTTTTTTTAGCTTTTGTGCAGTTGAGGTAAGAATCTGGAGGAATTAATTTAGCACCAAGCACAGCTTTTGTGCGTAATAACCTTTTTAAACAGATTTTTGTATGAGTGGCATTTTGGTCGTCTATCTCATTTTTTTTTTCAGACCAGCGAGTTACAGGAAGGCAGCTACTTTACGATTACTAAAAGGGGGGGCAAGCATATCTGCATAAAAAAATCATGAACATGAATTAAAAGAAAATCAAAAGACTATTTTCAGAAAAAAGTATATCTCAACTTGCATACTACGAACCTGAGATGTTACTGGATAAATTTAGACTATATGCAACTCAACTCTAAAGATACTCACATCTTGTTTTGAATAAACATATACTGCATTCGCCAAGGAAAATATTTCCATTATGCATTCATTTGTTGCTTTAAGAAGCTTGTTCGCTTGATCACAACATTCGTATATGTATACCTGGTGCAGTTTTGGATTATTTGGTGTCATCGTCTTACTCATTCACACCATATCACTCTATTTAAAAGTTACAAATAATTTAACCAAAAACACAATATCCGTAAAAAGAATTGATGGAACATTATGTATTGATTCAATCAATAGTCAAAAATTACTATAAACTATAAAAACAATTATTCTTTTCATGTAAATTTGAATAATTTCATATTATTCACGTTAAGTAACATAAACCAACAGTCTCAGAGACGTAAACCAGTTGTCGCATTTACACAAATCAAAAGTCGCCTGTGTCAAAATTTAACAGAAACCAGTTGTAGCACCTATAAAATGAATTTGCTAGTTATTGGCAAATCCCATGGAAATAATTCATTTAAAGCACATTGTTTGTGTCCATGGCATAGAAAAACGTTGGATTAAAGTTAAATTTATCAACTTAACTGTCCAATTAGTCCTGTAGTACTTTGCAAATGCGAGTACGTGAAAAACACAATGTAAACAGTCATTTACAAGTAATATTTCGATATGAGCCCTTTTCGGGTATAAAAGCAATCCAATCGCTTAACTATTTAATAAATTTGCTTTCTAGAAAGTGATTTTTATTGTGTTTTATGAAAAAATATGTATTAAACTAGATAATTCACAGGTGCCAATAGTAGCTGATGTCCGAAACCAAGATTTTCTCGATTCGCACTTTACCAGCAGTGATTGAGCTCATAAGTATAAGAGAGAATAAAATAAATTTTTGACCAAAGGAAATTAATTTAAAGCTCACTAAATTTATGTAGGAGCAGATTAGTTTCATTGTTAGCTCACCTGAGCCGAAGGCTCAAGTGAGCTTTTCTGATCACATTTTGTCCGGCGTCCGTCTGTCCGTCCGTCTGTCTGTCTGTCTGTCTGTAAACTTTTCACATTTTCGACTTCTTCTCAAGAACCGCTGGGCCAATTTCAACCAAACTTGCCACAAAGTATCCTTGGGTGAAGGGGATTCAAGTTTGTTCAAATGAAGGGCCACGCCCTCATTCAAGGGGAGATAATTGGGAATTAATGAAAATTTGGTGGCATATTTTAAAAATCTTCTTCTCAAGAACCACTGTGCCAGGAAAGATGAAACTTATGGGGAAACATCCTTAGGTAGTGTAGATTGAAGTTTGTTCAAATCATGACCCCCGGGGTTAGGGCGGGGCCAAAATGTCCGACCATAGTTTTACATAGAAATATATAGGAAAATTATTTAAATATCTTC